GATCTGACTAGCTGTACCTGTCCGCGCTTTGTAGGAAAGAAAGTTTGGGTTTGTTTTGATGCTAGCGTTCAAGAGCATGGGCTGCAGCTCCTGGGTCATTGGTATTTTAACTACTGTCGTGACAAATTGAGAAGTACGCGCTCGAACTAATGTTTCAGGAGGAAAAAGTGGTAACTATGCCGCAAAACTTCTTTCTCCACCTCCTTTATCAGCCAGGGACCAACTTAACTTTATATCACTGTTGTTGGAAGTACCTCTGTGTTAGTACTAGTTTTTTTTAAAGTTGGGTATTTAGAGGAGTTCGTGCTAGTTTTTTGTACATATGAAATGATTAGTTTTAATACTGTGGCTTCTGTATTGCTTACTTTTTTTGGAATTTTAAGGTAGTAGGGTAGTTTAAGCAGCATTATTTGAATATAGTAGTTTTCTTCTCGACTATCAGGACGGTAATACCATGTTTGGCTCCTAGTTTCCAAGTGTTTTTTTTTAATGTGTGATTAAAATAAGTTTCTGTTCACAGACCTGGAACTAGTTACGGGGCATTAGAAAGTTTTTTTGTAAAAATGGTGCTGTTAATTTTGTCCAAACCTTGCATTATGATAGTGGACTCTCTAACCACTGCCTTCATAATGACCAACGAGTGCGATGCTGACATAATTTTATGAATATTGGTAAAAAAGTGGAGGGAGAGTAGTTCAAGACTGATTATTGATTACTGAAAAGTCAGAACTGAACTTTTTGAAGAAGAGTGGGAGCCGCTGTGTTTGATCGTGTCATAGGTTCATTTCTTAGGCAGGTTTGTCAGACAGGAACTTCGCTCTTGTCTGGGAGGTTGTTCCTGCTTTTGATTTGTCTTTTATCGGTTGTTACGTAATTTACATGTAAGTAGCTTTCTGGCAGATAGCTTTCTACGTAAGGGTAATGGTAGGGTATTCAATTTTTTCGAGGTTTCTTGCTAGTTTTGAAATGCGTTATATTTGTTGTATGGCTTGATCTTTGTCTTTATCCGCCTCACAGTAACCCAAATTAACTTTGTACTCGTTGTAATTCATTATGTGGAAAAATAGTTTGGTTATTTTTCTGATGGTTCTTTAAATGGTGAAAATAATTTTTAGGTTTCATAGGATTCTGTTACCTATCAAGTTTTGTTATGCACACTGGGAATTGTGCTAGTTCTTTTGGTTGATGAAATATGAGTCAGAAGTAAAGAAATTACTTTAAAAGATGTGCATTTGAAGAGTATTGCAAGGAGAAATTAGGAATTTTACATATAAATGTATAATACTAAAATTTGAGCACTGACGGATTTTTCGCCTTTATCACTGAAGATCCTGGTGGAGCGGTCATGGCAACACAGCAAAGCGAGAATATGCTACTGTCGGCAGATCGGGCTGCTAATAGTCACCGGATCTGGTTCGGAAACCCCTACGGTACGCAGGTTACATCGCAGTTATAACTGAATAGCGCAATACAGCAGCACGGCGAAGAAATTATTGTTTAGCCTTCATTTGCGGATCCCTGTTTGGTAGTTTATCGAGCATGATCTTCAGCCAGATACATTGCTTGTGATCATAGATACAAGCTTTTTATTTCTTAACACTTGAAAACGTGAGTACATTGAATATAAAATGGATTTTCCTTATTCTGCTTTGAGAAGTGTAACAGTTAGTCAGGACTATTGTCAGTAGTAAATTATAGCATAGAAATAGCAAGCAGTAGTAGACAGTACAAGTGAACTCAGAGGCAAATGCGGCAAAGGTTACCTGTTCAACTATTACTGACTCTTTAGAAATTTACAGACTACTCGTCAACAAATATCTTCTTTACAAAAAGACCAACTTGTTCGCTTAAGACTACACAAATCCTGTACACACTACAAAGCCACTAGTCAGCACAACTCTTTCAAACCTAGCTCTGACAGGTATTCACCGGTACGTGACTACGGTCGTTGGGCAAGCACACCGTGCGTGAACGTGAATGTGTACAAAAACAGTTGTATATCAGCTAAGTCTATACTGTTATCTCTAAAGTTGATTCTATCGGAGCGTTCTTTCCCACGGTCGTGAATAAACTCGCTACTCGCTATCATTAAGCTCTGGACTTTCCTCTTTAAAAACTTCGCTACTTTTTCGCTCTGAAGCTTTCTGCTTGGTAGGAACTGCAAAAGAAGCTTGATTTTGTTTGTCTTGGATGTAATAGTTCCTCCACTTTATTTATCCGACTAAGTGTTTTTGAGATCAGCTTTGGTTTAATGAATAGGCGAAAAGAGTAGGAAAGGTCCAATGAATGGTATCTTGTTGGTAACTTTAATGTAAATTTTGCTCAGGGTTTTCTCCTCTGCCGTTGCAGTGAATGGAAGGCGTACAGCAGTCTCAAAGTTGCGACTGTGTGTAACTTTATAAGGGACCTTCTCAACAAGAGTGGCAAATTCATTGCTCAGCTCTTCTTCTGCATACCACTTGTAAAGAAGAGGCTTTATCAATTTGTTCCTTATATTGCTGGGTTAATCGCTTTGATGAATCTAGCTTCTTCTTTCTTTAATGGATTCAAATAATTTGCAATCGAAAAAAATTCTGAGCGATTTTTTATCTTTCACGTCGGATTTGATGGATTCACAGCACTTTATCAAACGAAACCTTAAATTAGGTTATCAAATCTTACCATTACAGTTAAGCAACAATTACACATCACAGATAACATTAGAGAACGAAGGAATACAGTTATACAGCACACATGAGGAAAGGATGGAATTGTTAACTATGTCGGAAGATTTATGTAAGAGCAGGCTAAGCGACCTGTAGCTCTGTAGCTGTAGATCTTCTTAGGGTTTGACAGTTCTCTCGGTAATGATGATATGCGACCATGCAGCTTTTTTTGGTTCTTAAGAAAGATTACTAATCTAAATTATTGTCGAGTATTTATTCCTGCTTATTTCTTCCATATATGTGGCTTCATTCCAGAAAGCAGCTCTCTAGGTTACTTTATTTCCATGACTATGTGGTAATAAATAAGTAAATACCTGAGATCTTAGCTGAATTTATTTTTAGTGGTCCCCATTGCATCTTGGCACTCTTTGGTCATAGTTTTATGTTTGAGCTTTTTTGCATCTGGATTGTTCGCTAATTTGGTAACAGCACTATGCATCGCTTTGTAGACCGCTCGCTTCGGCCAAAGACGCTGTAAATAAACGTAAATAGTTTGTTTGGAATCTGTTTTTTATTGCTTGAGAACGTGACCCAATTGAGCATAAACTTGGTTTTCCTCATTTTCTTTTGGTCTAAGCTCTTCTGGCAGTGATCAGGTAGAAAATTGGCAGCATTACATTATAAAACTGTTAATCTTTCTTGTCCAAGAAACCTTCATCGCTGTTTAGCTAGGGAAGTTCTCGTGTGATTAGAGCACTGTAAAAGGCTTGATGTCTGCTCATTCAAAGCTCGTTTCCACACTTTTCCTGTTTTCAGTTATCTATTTAAGCGTTTTTAAGGCTAGCTCTATTTTAATGGATCAGTGAGAACACTGTCTTCTAGCTCATTTGTAAAGGAAAGAGATTGACACAGATTTCACAGATTACTCCCTATAAAACAAGTTGATACTTCTTCTTTTTCCTTTTGGTTGCTACTCGATTTTCTAAATTGATATCTTCAGAATTTGGTCGTTGTTGATGAGTAAATGCTGCCACACTGATCTTGGGTTTCAAAGTTTTATTTCAATCAGCGAATACAAATACAGCGAAAACCTCATACCTGGGTAATTAAACCATAAAATCAAAAATTATAAAACA